AATAATATTATTATCTATTTTTAAAACATGATTATTGTCTTGTTTTGTTTTGTGATTAAAAAGAAAAATTAGTTTTATTAATGTTCAATGATAATTTATTTAATTTAAACCAGTTGGATACTTTGCTTAATTCAGTGTTAGTAATTTTAAAAAGTTCTGGTAAGTTTTTGTTTGAATAGAAAAGATTGGTGTCGTCAGCAAACAGAACAAAACCTAATAATGATGAACAATTTGGGAGATCATTAATATAAATTAAAAATAATAAAGGACCAAGTATTGACCCCTATGGAACACCACAGTTGATTTTAGAAAGAGGAGAATTATAAGAGTCAACTGAAATAAATTGTTGTCGATTGCCAAGGTAGCTTCTAAAAAGAATGAGAGCAAGGCCTCTGACACCATAACGTTCAAGTTTGTTTAGTAAAATGCTATGATCAATAGTGTCAAAGGCCTTGCTCAGATCAAGAAAAATACCAGCTGAGAAATAATTATTACCAATAGCTTTGGTAATTTGGTCATATATATCAGTAATAGCAAAACCATATTGGCGATTATGAATAATATTGTGCTTATCTAAAAACCCAAGCAATCTGTTGTAAATTAGGCGCTCAAGGATTTTGGAGAAACAAGGTAATAAAGAAATAGGTCTGTAATTAGTAAACAAATGAGGATCACCTTTTTTTATAAATAGGAACTACCTTGGCAATTTTTAGGGCATCAGGGAATGTTCCCTTTCCAAAGCAGAGATTAAAGGTATAACATAAAGGTTTTGAGATTTGATTGCATATACGGTACGTTTGACAACATTGTTTGATATTTCATCATTTCCAGGACTCTTATTAATTTTTAAGCATTGGATAATTTCTATAATTTCGTATTCAGTAACTGGGTTAAAAAAAAAAAACGAATCAAGAAGAGGTGGGTTAAGAAAGCAAGAGAAATGTTGATTAGTTTGAATATTAATTTTTGCTGCAATATCTGGTCCGATGTTTACAAAATAGTCATTTAGTTTTTTAGCAATAGTATGGGAGTCTAATTTTTGATCCGTCATGTAGGAAGTATGACGGGGAACTTTTATGTTTGTTGT